TTTTTGGGGGGGGGGGGGGTTTCTTATTGTGGCTTTTTGTGATGGGTATTCCCAGTTTTCATGCTTTGGTGTTTATAACTTTATATCCTATGTCCTGGGCAGGTGTTCTAAGTGCTGATGTCTTTGCTAGATATTGCCGCATCCGTGGCTATAATTCCATATACATATGTGGTACGGATGAATATGGAACTGCAACCGAGACCAAAGCCTTGGAGGAGAATTGCAGTCCAAAGGAGATCTGTGATAAGTAATGCATTGCCAGTTTCCTCTTTTTCTTGTTTGACTCTCTGTGCGAGGAAATATTCTGCTGACCTAATGTAGAATTATTTGAGCTGTAGATGTTATATTTCCATTCTGCTTGGGTTGCAGAATAGATGTATATATAGTTTCTTGGTATCTTTATTTTGTCAATCGGTTTGCTTCGTAGGTGTATGAGATTTTTTGAGAATCTGTTCAGCTCAATTGAATGGAAAATATATTGATGATATGTTGGAATCATCATACAAAAGTTTTACAGGTTTCTGGAAATTGTTTGGAACTCTTCAGGGTAGTTTGCTAGGGTGCTTGACCATTTAGGAATTTATGATACATCAGTTATTTTTCATGATATGTTGCTTGGCTAAATTGAAAGAAACCACACTTATATGGAACTACGGGAACAACCACAGAGAAGTTTTACATATTTTTGTAATTGTTCTGAAAATGACTCTTCAGAGTAGCTTGTTGAAGTGCCTCGGATTAGCCTTCATGATACTTCATTCCTGATGCCACCATGTTTTCTTGTTTGTGCATTCTTAGGTACCATGCCATTCATAAAGAAGTTTATGATTGGTTTGATATACTTTTTGACAAATTTGGGCGAACTTCAACTCCACAACAGACAGAAGTTTGCCAGGCAATTTTCAAGAAATTGTTGAAGAACAACTGGCTATCAGAGAACACCATGCAACAGGTGAATTCTCTTTTATTTATTCATCCAATTTATTTTGCAGAAGCGGCAGCGTTTTTATCCTAAGCGGTGGGTTCTACAATACTTGTTAGTTGTTTCTTAGTCTTGAGTCTTTGTGGTTGCCTGCCATTTCAGCTTTACTGCGAGACATGCAAGAAATTCTTAGCTGACCGGCTTGTTGAGGGCACCTGTCCGTTTGAAATCTGCAACAATGATTCTGCCAGGGGAGATCAATGTGACAAATGTGGAAAGCTCCTGAATCCTACTGAACTAAAAGATCCAAGGTGCAAGGTATATTATACTTCTCACTACCATGACCTTTGTCTCAATTATAGATTTCTAAGTTCCCTTTTGCACATGTTTGTGTTGTATTTTACTATACATATATTGCAATGTCATGTTCTGAAAACTCTGACAAATGAATGCCTCTGCAGGCAGATAGAAGCTGTAATTCATAATAATGGACTTTCTATTTTCATTCATTTGTTTCCTGAGCATCTTTCCATTGTTCTTCCTATTTTATTTACCTGAATCTAGGACGGATGAATTCTATGTTTTCATTGAGTTCAGGCCTCCTATCGAGGTTGAGGAATGCGGGTTCTTATATTTTTTTCACCAATACCTGTGTTTGATTCTCAAACAGGTATGCGGGACCTCACCCCAAATTCGTGATACAGACCATCTGTTTCTTGAGCTTCCTTTATTAAAAGATAAATTGGACGAGTACATAAACAAAACATCTGTTGCTGGATCGTGGAGTCAAAATGCTATTCAAATAACAAATTCGTGGCTTAAGGAAGGGCTGAAACAGAGATGCATTACAAGGGACCTAAAATGGGGTGTTCCCGTTCCACTTGAGAAATATAAGGACAAGGTGAGATAATTTTCTCTGTGTAAAATATCATATTCTTGTAATTAAACTTTCGTTTTTTTTGCCTTACCATTTCTACTTCTTCAAGGTTGCTTATGATTAGTGGACTATTAATTCGAAGTTTTGTTACAGGTCTTTTATGTTTGGTTTGATGCTCCTATTGGATATGTTTCGATAACTTCATGCTATACATCTGAATGGGAGAAGTGGTGGAAGAATCCTGAAAACGTGGAACTTTATCAATTTATGGGAAAAGACAATGTGCCATTTCACACTGTAAGTATGGTACAGAAATTGCAGCATTTTGTTTATGGCCAAAAACTTTGTTCCATAGGTTTCTCTCTTTTCTATATCTGCTGACCATCCATAATCTTCGATTCTGGCTTGTACTTCTTCCATTAATGTATTGGAAGACTTGCCTACTCAGTACTTACAGTTTTCCAATGTCAAATTACTGGTGCCCTTGGCATGCAAATGGTAGAATCTTCTATCGATCATGCTATTTTGGGATAGCCAGAGAACATAGTATTATGTTGATCATTCTTCGGTTTTGCTGCCATGACTGATTTATCACATAATGTTTTACTTTTTCAAGTTATTCTGGCGACTGTTTTATTCTCCAAAGCTTTTCTCTAGATCTATGAGCAATATTTCTTCTTTCTAAACTTGATTCAATGCTTTATTTGTTCATATGCAGGTGATGTTTCCTTCTACGCAGCTGGGGACCGAGGAAAATTGGACACTGATGAAGACGATCAGTGTTACTGAATATCTAAATTACGAGGGTGGTTAGTTGATGTTTCATCACGATTTGCATAGGAAATAGATAAATTATTTATTTTATATGGGACTTATTTGTGCTTTTTCTGGCAGACATTTTAAGGGAATTACTTCTGTGACGTTGCAGGAAAGTTCTCCAAGACTAAAGGGGTAGGAGTGTTTGGCAATGATGCAAAAGAAACGAATATTCCTGTAGAAGTATGGAGATATTACTTGCTGACTAACAGGCCAGAGGTAGCTATTTGCTGCCAGATTATTATAATTTTCCTTGAAGTGGTGTACCATTTTGCACTTAGTCACCAAATCTCATTCTCATGGGTCCGATAATTTCTGTCTAGGTCTCTGACACACAATTCACGTGGGATGATTTGCAAGCAAAATTGAATGGCGAGTTGCTGAACAACCTAGGCAACTTTGTTAACCGTGTTCTGAGTTTTATTGCGAAGCCTGCAGGTTGGTTGTTTGATGTATTACAGTCTTTCCTGGTTTATATTTCCAGCTTGTGTTCTTTGTGGTTACTCTCATATCGAAACAGGCGCATAGTTTTAATGGATTCATTTTCTGCTTGCAACTTGCAGTCAACCAAAATTAGTATTCATTTGATACACTTGTTAGGCTGACAAGTGGGTTTTAATCTGAGTCATCTCATATTAGTAAACTTATGGACATGATAACTTAAAATGAAAATGAGTTTGGGATCTCCGGAAAAGTTTTCTCACATGAGGTTGGTGGTACACATAAATGCAAGTGTTATGACACAGAATAAGAACGTTATAGGACACATTTAGCTTGCTAGACCTCACCCTGTTTAATTATAGTACATAAACTCTCTTCAATCTCCATGCTGATTATTTTCCGATCAGGTCAAGGTTATGGGTCTGTCATTCCTGATGCTCCTGGCGCTGAATCACATCCATTGACAAATTCAATGGCGGAAAAGGTTGGAAAGCTCGTAGAGCAGTACGTTGAAGCCATGGAGAAGGTAAGGTCTAAATTAACATTTTATCATGATATATGGTTTCTAGAGTTGTCTTCAGTTGTTGTTTATGATTTCTACAAAATCCCTCTCGTGCATTAAATGCAGGTTAAGCTAAAGCAGGGTCTGAGAATAGCTATGAGCATTTCAAGTGAAGGGAACGCATACTTGCAGGTAATTTTGTGTGTTCAGCTTTTATTTCTATACTCATTTTCACAGCTAAGGCTGTCTTTATGGTTTTACTGCAGGAAAGTCAATTCTGGAAACTTTACAAGCAAGATGAACCTTCCTGCTCAATTGTCATGAGAACTGCTTGCGGGATAGTAAATATCCTTGCACGGCTTTTAGAACCTTTCATGCCATCCTTTTCTCATGAGGTAGGTAGCTTACGGATCTGGTCGAGTAATTGTTTTTTGGAAACGGTGAAAATGTTTTTATTTAATATTTAATGCTAAGCTTCTGTTGCTTTTTGCAGGTATTTAAGCAGCTTAATTTGCCTTTACAATTTTCACTCTCCGACGAGAATGGAGACATATTTAAAGCAAGTAGGCCATGGGAGATTCTACCTCCCAACCACAAGATTGGCACTCCTCAACCATTGTTCAAGGAACTGGTCTCTCTCTCTCTTTCTCTTTCTCTCTCAGACATACTCTTGCGATACATCATTTCATGAATCACGAATTGTAAAACGGAATGGTTTCACAGAAAGATGAAGAAGTTCAACAATACCAAGAAAAATTTGCTGGAAGTCAAGGTGATAGACGTGCGAGGGAAGCAGAGGCAGCAAATATGGTCGAGCAACTGAAGAAAACCCAATTATCTGGTGGTACCACTACGTTGTTATTCTCAGAAAACTCCGTCACATTTGTTTTGTTTAATGCACTGACGCTCATTAATATTTTTTGTAGATGGAAAGAAACAGAAACCATCAAAAGCTAGTGAAGCAGCCAAAGCTAAGCCAAAGCCGGCTGCTGAAC